TCCTTGAAGGGTTAACTTGCCCAAAACAGTGAAGGAAAAAGCTGCTTTTATGTGAACTTCTGCAGACTGTGAACTTCTGAGCCCCTCCCCTTACATGCTGGGTATAAAACTCTGAAACTACCTGAACTCGGGGTTCAGGGGATTAATTGATTACAGCAAAAGCTGTGCCCTCTGAACCTGGCTGCAGCCAAATAAAACTGTTTCCTGCTATCTTCGATGCCTTGCATCGTCTGTCCTATAACACTCCCCTACCCTCACTCCCCTCTGCTCAATTCAAAAGTCCTCCATTTTTCCCTTGTCCTCACCTCCCACCCCATTAAGGATCAGCATCCACATATTAGAGAAAACATTTGATCTTTGGTTTTTTGGAATTGGCTTATTTCACTTAGCATGATATTCTCCAACTCCATCCATTTACCTTCAAATGCATTATTTTATTCTTCTTTAAGGCTGAGTAATATTCTATTGTACCTACATACCACAGTTGCTTTATCCATTCATCTATTGAAAGACATCTAAGTTGGTTCCAGTTTAGCTATTTCGAATTCAGCTGCTGTTGTGAACTGAGCTGTTATAAACATTGATGTAGCTGCGTCACTGAAGTAGGCTGTTTTAAAATCATTTGGCTATAGAACAAGGAGTGGGATAGCTGGATCATATGGTGGTTCTATTCCAAGTTTTTTAAGGAATCTCCATACTACTTTCCAGAGTGGTTGCACGCATTTGCAGACTCAACAATGTATGAGTGTACCTTTTCCCCCACATCCCCACCAACACTTATTGATGCTAGTATTCTTGATAATTGCCATTCTGACTGGAATGAAATAAAATCTTAAAGAGTAGTTCTGATTTACATTTCTCTAATTGCTAGAGATGTTGAATAATTTTTCATATATTTGTTGATCAATTATATATCTTTTTCACTTCCTTAGCCCATTTATTGATTGTGTTATTTGGGGGTTTTTTGGTGTTAAGTTTTTGAAGCTCTTTATATATCCTGGAGATTAGTGATCTATCTGATGCTTATTTGGTAAAGATTTTCTCCCATTCTGTTGGCTCTCTCTTCATGTTACTGATTGTTTCCTTTGCTGAGAAGAGCCTTTTTAGTTTGAATCCATCCCATTTATTGATTTTGATTTTATTTGTTGTGCTTTAGGAGTCCTGTTAAGGAAGTCATATTCCTAAGCCTACCTGATGAAGATTTGGGTCTGCTTTTTCTTCTATTAGGTGCAGGGTCTCTGGTCTAATTCCTAGGTTCTTAATCCACATTGAGTTGAGTTTTGTGCATGGTGAAAGATAGGGGTTTAATTTCATTTTGCTGCATATGAATTTCTAGTTTGCCCAGCACCAATTATGGAAGAGGCTATCTTTTCTCCAATGTATTTTTTTTTTTTTTGGTGCCTTTGTCTAATATGAGATAACTGTATTTATGTGGGTTTGTCTCTGTGTCTTCTATTCTGTACCATTGGTCTACATGTCTGTTTTGTTGGCAATACCGTGCCAATTTTATTACTATAGTTCTGTAGAATATGTTAAAGTCTGGTATTGTGGTGCCTCCTGCTTCATTCTTCCTGCTAAGGATTGCTTTGACTATTCTGGGTCTCTTATTTTTCCAAATGAATTTCATGATTGCTTTTTCTTTTCTATGAGGAATGTTGTTGGGATTTTAATTGGAATTGCATTAAATCTGTATAACACTTTTGGTAATATGACATTTTGACAATATTAATTCTGCCTCTCTAAGAACAAGGGAGATGCTTCCATCTTCTAAGGTGATCTTTAATTTCTTTCTTTGGTGTTCTGTAGTTTTCATTGAAGAGGTCATTCACCTCTTTTGTTAGGTTTATTCCCAAGTATTTTGTTTGTTTCTTTTTTGAGGCTATTGTGAATGGGGTAGTTTTCCTAATTTCTCTCCCAGAGGATTCATCACGGATGTATAGAAATGCATTTGATTTATGAGTGTTGATTTTATATCCTACTACTTTACTGAATTCATTTATTAGTTCCAGAAGTTTTCTGCTGAAATTTTTTTGATTCCCTAAATATAAAATCCTATAGTTGGCAAAGAGTGATAGTTTAAATTCTTCTTTTCCTATTGGTATCCCTTTAATTTCTTTCTTCTAATTGCTCTGGCTAGAGTTTCAAGGACTATGTTGAATAGAAGTGGTGAAAGAGTGCAACCCTGTCTTGTTCCAGTTTTTAGAGGAAAAGCTTTCAATTTTTCTCCATTTAGAGTGATGCTGGCCTTGGACGTAATAGCTTAGATAGCTTTTAAAATGTTCAGGTATGTTACTACTATCCCTAGTTTTTCTAGTGTTTTCAACATGTAGGGGTGCTATATTTTGTCAAATGCTTTTTCTGCATCTATTGAGATGATCATATGATTCTTACCTTTAAGTTTATCAATGTGATGAATTACATTTATTGATTTCCATATGTTGAACCAATCTTGCATTCTTGGAATGAACCCCATTTGATCATTGTGCATTCTTTTTAATATGTTTTTGTATGCAATTTGCCATAATTTTATTGAAGAATTTGGCATCTATGTTCATCAGGGATATTGGTCTGAATTTTTCCTTCTTTGATGTGTCTGCTTTTGGTATCAGGTTGATACTAGCCTCATAGAAATAATTTGGAAGGATTCCTTCCTTTTATATTTCATGAAACAATTTGAGGAGTATTGGTATTAATTCTTCTTTGAAGGTCTTGTAGAACTCACATGAGAATCCCTCTGGTCCTGGGCTTTTCTTGGTTGGTAGGGTTTTGATGGCATCTTCTATTTCATTGCTTGAAATTGACCTATTTAAATTGTGCATGTCCTCCTGATTCAGTTTGGGCAGATCATATGTCTCTAGAAATGTGTTGATGTCTTCAAGATTTTCTATTTTACTGGAGTACAATTTTTCATAAAAGTTTGTAATTATCTTCTGTATTTCAATAGTATCTGTTGTGATATTTCCTTTTTCATCATGAATTTTAGTAATTTGAGTTTTCTCTCTCCTTTTCTTTAGGGTGGTTAAGGGTTTGTCAATTTTATTTATTTTTTCAAAGAATCAGCTTCTCGTTTTGTCTATTTTTTCAGTTGTTTCTTTTGTTTCAATTTCATTTGATGTTAGTCCTGATTCTAATTACTTTCTGTCTTCTACTTTTGGTGTTGGTTTATTCTTCTTTTTCTAGGGCTTTGAGATATAATGTTAGGTCATTTATTTTCTTTTTAAGATTTTCTTAATATGTACACAATATCTTTATATTTATTTTTAGCTGGTGATGAGGATCGAACCCAGTGCCTCACATGTGTGAGGCAAGCTCTCTGCTGCTGAGCTATAAACCCAGCCCCAGGTCATTTATTTCAACAGCAAATTTGAGCAAGCAGAAAACAAGTCATCAAAGTTGAAGACAGGACAATTGAAATTACACAATTTGAGATGAGAATAAAAAAGGAATAAAAAAAAACTAATAGAGTCCCTGTAGGATACTACCAAGCACTACATATAATGGGAGTTCCACAAGAGGGAAGAAAGAGGCCAAAAGATTATTTGAAGAAATAACGACCAGGAGTTTATCAATTTTGACTTTTTTTAAAAAAAATTACTCTACGCATCTAAGAATCACAATGAACTACAAATAGAATAAACTCAGAGACTCCCAAGGCACGTTATCATCAAAATTTCAAAGACAAAGGCAAAGAATCTTGAAAGAAGAGTGAGAAAGAAGTAACTTGGCACACTAAGATTAGCAGCTGACTGCTCATCAAAATTTATGAAGTGTCCAGGCATGGTGGCACATGCCTATAACCCCAATGGTTTGGGAGGCTGAGGCAGAAGGATTTAAGTTCAAAGCCAGCCTCAGCAACTTAGGGAGTCCCTAAGCAATTTAGCAAGACCCTGTCTCAAAATAAAAAAAATTAAAAGGGGAGTAGGGCTAGGGAATGTGGCTCGGTGGCCACTGAGCACCCGTGGGTTCAATGCCTGCTACAATAAAAAGAAAAATCATGGAAGGCATACCACAAGATGGTGAATGACATATCCAAAGTTACAAAAGACTGCCAATTAGGAATTCTATACTCAAAAAAATCATTCTTCAGAAATGAGAAAAAGTTTAATGGGTAGAGTTTCAGTTTTGTAAGATGAAAAGGTTCTGAGACAGGTTGTAGAAACATTACTCATTCTTAAAATGATGAAGATCATACATTTTATGTTATGTGTATTTTACTGCAGTTATATAAAAGTTAATTAAAAGGAGAACTTAAGACTTCCCAGATAAACAAAAACTATGAAAGTCTGTCATTAGTAGATCTGCCCTACATAAAATATAGTGGGGGGGGGGGGGGGGGACAGTGTTTGCAGTGTAGGGATGGAATGAAAAGGCAGTAGACAGTAACTCAAAGCCAAATGAAGAAATAAAGAACATGGTTAAGGTAACTACACAGGTAAATATAAAAGCCAGTACTACTGTATTTTTTATTTATAACTCCTCTTGTTTCTCCTATATTATTTAAAAACCACATTCTACAATGTACACATGCATTCCCTAAATGACTATATTTAGAAAAAAAATTAGTAAACTGGAAAATGAAATCAGAAGACTGAGTAACAATGACTACGGTTCATGCAACCAAATGAGATCTATCACACTTTATTCTAAACCAGACATCTCTGATTTGTATTTCATGTGGAAAAGATCTATAAGTGAGCTGAAACCCAAGCAAACAGGGAATCAGAGTCTAACATGAAAGATCACCAGGCAGAAAGCAAGAGACCTAAGTTGTTATACTGTTGGCTCTGCTAAAAATTCCCAGTGTCACTAACTTCTCTAGGTCTTTAGTTTCCCATTTGTGAAATTAGGAAAATATAATATTTTATAAGAAATGTGTATGAAGAAAAAAGAAACCAGATGACATAAAATTCTTTAAATTCTTAGGTAAGTAAAGCAGCAGGCAAGTATAGAGCACTATCATTACTACTGGCATCAGAACATACAAGTAGTTCCTTACTCACCTGATGATGCTGGATGTTTCTTATGTTACATGAGAAGTTTTGGTAGAGCTGAAACTTATCAACGTCTTTCTCATTTACCTTTTTTGAGGACACTTTTGCCAGAGATGACTGGATACAAATGTATCTATTTTGGCACCTGCTCAGATACACAAATGTTCAAAAAAAATTAATATTTTATTTACTTAGTTAGGTACTGGGATTGAACCCAGGGTGCTATACCATTAAATTACATTGCTGGCCATTATTATTATTTATTTTGAGACAGTCTTGCTAAGTTGCTGGGGCTAGCCTCAAACTTGTGATCCTCCTGCCTCAGCCTCCCAAGTTGCCAGAATTATAAGCATGTATCCAACTAATAAGTACCTCAGTAGAACAAAAATAAGTTATATGGAAATAAGGATAGCAAAAAAATTAAGCCATTACAAAGTGCAATGTGTTTAATGATGCCCAATTATGAAAACAATAGTATTATTAACCCATCATAAGGACATTTTGCCTACCATGCTAACATATATCCTACAGAACTGTTTATGTATCAACCCAATATGCCTAAATGAGTTCAAATACCATTTAGTTACGCAAGAGACCAAAACTATCATAGGAATCAGACTAATAACTATAGTCTAAATATCATAATATCATCCTTCTCTAACCACTGAATTAGGCAGTCACAGTCAATTAAAAGCTAAAAAAAAAAAAAAGAAAGAAAAAGAAACAAAAGGATGTACCAGAATAGCTTCCTATAATAATTTATAAAACCGAGACAAATTTCAGTTGCATAATTACTCACACACACCCAAAACAGTTAATCTAATCACTTTTCCTACTTCAACCCATTCCTGCTAGGACCACTGAGAATACAGAAAAGTTCTCTTCCTTGAATTAACAAAACCCCTAATGCAACAGCAATCAACTGGTTCATCCCCTTTCCTCTCTCCGCAAAGTCATATAGCTGGAGGTATGGAAGGACACAGAGCAAAAGCAAATCTCTGGCAGAAACCTACCATTTCTTTTGATAGATAGCAGAAAAAGAACAACAGGGTACATAAAAATAAGGTTTTATGGGCTGGGTTTGTAGCTCAGTGGTGGAGCGCTTGCCTAGCACATGTGAGGCCCTGGGTTCAATTCTCAGCACCACATTAAAAAAATAAATAAATAAAATAAAGATGCATCGGGCTCGGGTTGTGGCTCAATGGTAGAGCACTTCCCTAGCATATGTGAGGCACTGGGTTCAATACTCAGCACCACATATAAATAAATAACTTTGACAACTAAAAAACATTATGTAAAAAAAATTTTTTAAATAAACAAATACAGATGCATCAACAACTAAACAAAAAAAATTAACTACAGTTTTAAAGTAATGCCTTTTTAAGGCATACTCATACATTGCTGGTGGGACTGCAAATTGGGACAGCCAATATGGAAAGCAGTATGGAGATTCCTTGGAAAACTAGAAATGAAACCACCATTTGACCCAGCTATTCCTCTCCTTGGTCTATATCCAAATGACTTAAAAACAGCATACTACAGGGACACAGGCAAATCAATGTTTATAGTAGCACAATTCACAATAGCTAAACTATGGAACCAACCTACATGCCCTTCAGTAGATGAATGGATAAAAAAAAAATGTAGTATAAACACACGATACAATATTACTCAGTGATAAAAGAGAATAAAATCATGGCATTTGCAGGTAAATGGATGGAGTTGGAGAAGATAATGCTAAGTGAAATTAGCCAATCCCAAGAAACCAAATGCCAAATGTTTTCTCTGATATAAGTAGGCTGATGCATACTGGGGTAGGGAGGGGGAACATGGGAGGAATAGACAAACTCTAGATAGGGCAAAGGAGTAGGAGGGAAGGGAGGGGGCATGCAGTTAGAAATTGATGGAGGGATGAGATGGACATCATTATCCAAAATACATGAATGAAGACACGAATGGTGTGAATATACTTTGTATACAACCAGAGATATGAAAAATTGTGCTCTATATGTGTAATATGAACTGCAATGCATTCTGCTGTCATACATAACAAATTAGAATAAAAAAATTTTTAAAAAATCGGAGTTGCCAGATATGTCTTCTTTTCATACAACTACTGATATATTTTTAAATGAAATAAATTAGCATCTTACATCTAAAAAATTTCCATGAAGCAAAGACTTGAGAACAATTATCTAGCCAATTCAGTTAGGAGAAATACATATATTTTCCCTTGATGTCTAAAGTCAGAGTTGTTTGGATTAAATCTAAACTGTTTAGGGTTGCATTATCTACCCATTATACAATTTTTGTGTTATAATCCCCAAGCTGATGCATTAAAGCTTCAGAAATATTTTCATAAACATAAAAAGATGTTCATACAATCCTGTTAATTTTTTAAAGGTTTAATTTTCATGCAATACAATCTATCCTAGTATATTAGTGAATATGCATAGAAAAGTATATTGTGAGTAAACACTCTTAGAAATCTGCAACAGTAGTTAAGAATGGTAACTGAGTATGTGGCTAAAAATTATTTTTGCTTATCTGTACTTGTTGACTTTTTAAATTGTTAAAATTAGAAAAGCAAAAGATGGTCATTTATAAAATCTAAAAGTAACATAGAACTATTAAAAAAAAAGTATATGTTCCTTTTTACTGACAGCTACCCCACATGATATCCCATCTCTTGGAATCCTCTGTCTTCTCAGGAGTGAACATTTTTATGTGCTTTATAAATATTTTCTATGTCTCTTGTATAAAAATATAGGAATTTGTTTATATTATAGGATTATGCTTGAATTTCTATTTTAATTTATCATATACATTATTCCATATTTGTAAAATTCTATTTACTAGGTAAACTTTTATACTTTATGCAATTGGTATGTATTACTAATGTAGGAAGAAAATAAACTTTATTTAAAAAAATTTTTTTTAAAGTAATGCCTTTTTTAGGGGCTGGGGATGTGGCTCAAGTGGTAGCGCGCTCGCCTGGCATGCATGCGGCCCGGGTTCGATCCTCAGCACCACATACAAAGATGTTGTGTCCGCCGAAAAATAAATAAATAAATATTAAAAAAAAAAAAAAAGTAATGCCTTTTTTAAAATGAGGCATAAAATCCATGAGCCCAAATAGGTCTAGCAAAGAGTTTTAATCTCATAAATGCAGATTATGATGCAATGGATAGATAAGCTGCTCTCCCCAGAAGCCAAAATTCATTTTAAGGTCAGTGCTTTTATCCATATCTCATATCACACATTCTGAAGATAACGCAATTGCCAATAAACTCCATAAATTAACTATTATAAAGTTAAACCTGTACATCACAATTAACATGTTTAAGAAATAAGCATAAATCTAAATAAGCATAAATCTCTAGTAGATGTTATGTAAATGCAGTGGTTTCTAAACTGTGTTCATCAGAGCTCTCCATTGAGGTGCCTGGGTTTAACAAGATGATTAGATAGAGTTCCAGGCTCCCTGACCATAATTCAATTAAAACATCTTTTCTTTTATCTGTTCTATATATTAAGGTTCTGTTGTTTGAAAAAAGTGATCTGATACTAGGGGGAAAAAAGTCTGAAGACAGTTTTTAATGAACACTGGTGTTAGCAGTAACCATGTGACCCTTAACAACAAAAGCCCACAAAGCAGAAAACTCTATGAAAGAGTTACTCACAATTTCCGAATGAAATCAAGCGTGTCTTTGTCTTTAGCAATCATGTCTGCTAAAATATGCTGCACTCCTGTTTCAATATCCTGGAGTGCTGACAGCCCTTTAGGTGAAGGGTAAGAGGGAGAACAAAAACACAAAGTATAAAGATTGCTTTTAATGCCTGTAATTACCACATTATTTTAAATCCTAGTTGAAATAAAATTTTAACTTAACAAACTTAAGACAAAAAGATATCATAACAATGACTAGCTTCCATATGCAACAAAAGAGAGCCTCGAGAAGCAATAATGTAGGGCCTTCCCATAATATACTGCCTACTAGTAAAAAGGCAGGTTTGGAGACAGCTGCCTGATCTGCTCCTGGTTCTAATACTAATTGTGGAACCCTGGGAAAGTTCCTTAACTTCTGTACCTCAAGTTTTCTATAAAAATAATAGTAATGCTTTCATAAAGTAGTTGCAAAAATTAAATGAGATGGTAAATATGTAGTAAGAGTCATCTCCCAAGGTTCATAATTTTTTCAATTGTTACAAAAACTCTCCTTACAAGCAATTTTATTACTACTCCTATTTTGGATTATAAAACATTTATTTACATTTTCAATGACCTAGCTGAATTTCTTAAATCTCACAAACATAAAACAAAAGCTATAGTGCAAATATTCATCTTCAAAATAAAATTGTCTCTCAGTGATGCACTATGTTCTCTCCAAGTGCTTTAGATTTGCTAATTTACAGAACTCACTCTTATTTATCATGGCCCCTGTGAAATCAAACTATATAGACAAATGTCATTTGCATTGCCTTCCTTCATTTCCTTTGTCTTTATTGTTTTATTTGCATTAAAAGTGTTTTGGTGGTGTTGTTTTACACAAAAGCTTAAATTACACAGCACTGAGTCCGTTGTTCATGTATGTTTTTCTGTGGGCACAGTTTTAATGAGGAAGAGGCATAAAAGCCAAAGAAAACAGAAAAACAGACTTACTATGACCTAATTAATAAAAAAGCAAAATGCCTTATTGTTATTGTTATGATAGTTAATGTAGTTGTGATAGCAGTTAATTGTAACTACTGAAGTAATTGTGTTTAAAGAAATTCAAAGAGAAATTTTACTGTGGAAATTAATAGAAATTTTATTTCCATTTGAAGAGAATTTCTCTATGAAGAAAATTTCAGAAACAAATTAACTTTACAAGGTGGAAGACTATATGTAAAAGACTTAGAACAGCTCTAACATAGTAAGCACTCAATAAATGTTTGCTCCTGTGTTAGCTATCTCCCTACATCAGCCTTCACCTAGTGCACAGAGAATGATTATTCTCTGTGGTTATCATCTCTATAGTTATTCTCTATGCACTACTTCTAGGATACTCAAATCACCTTGAAGTGTCATTACACAAAAGCCTTATGAGAACATCATGGTAATGAGTAAAGATGGAATCTACAATGGTGTATAGAATAGAAAGAAAAAATTATACATGTTGCTATAAAAAGAGCCTTTGAAAGGTGGCCAGCGGTAGCGCACCTGCCTGGCATGTATGAGGTACTGGGATCAATTCTCAGCACCCCGTATAAATAAATAAAGGTCTATCAACAACTAAAAAACATTTTTTTTTTTTAAAAAAAAAAAGGCCCCATCACATTGGGGGAATACAGTTAGAGAACCTTATGTAGTTACTGAACCTTTCATAATTAAAATTACATTAGAGCTCTAGTACAATGGTTTGTGAAATAGTCTGAAGACCTGAAAATGAAACTGTAGTAAGTACTTGTTAAATATACAGATTTCAGATTGGGGTGAGTGGTAGAGTACCTGTTAGTATGCACAAAGCTCTAGGTTCAATACCTGGCATGTATGCGCACACACACACACACACACACACACACACACACATCCTCAAAACTATGGGATTGTATTGTTTCACAGAGCATCCCAAATGATTCTGAAACTCATTAGACTTTTAAAAACCACTGTTAGGGAGGTACCTTGAGCTAGCTCTACAGCAGTGGTTCTCAGTGGGAGGCAGAAATTATCAGAATCATTTGGGAAGATCTTTCATATCACATACCACTCTCAGCCCAGAGAATAATTGAAAAAAATGAGTCTTGTGTGTTTTGAAAAATTCCTTCTCCAGTCAAAGAGAATTGATTTTAGAGGTGCATAATATAGCCAAAGACAACAGGAGTTCCTAAACTTCAGTTTTTCAGTGAAAACAGGAGGAAATTAAGTCCATAGAATCAGAAAATCCTATCCATTGTCTTACAATGTAATCTTTCTAGCCAGAGACTCTCCAGATCTCCACACCTGAAACAAAAACTGAAAAGTTCTAGGGGCTGGGGTTGTGACTCAGCGGTAGAGCACTTGCCTCGCATGTGTAAAAAGCACTGGGTTTGACCCCCAGCATCACATAAAAATAAATAAATAAACAAAATAAACATGTTGTCTCCATCTACAACTAAAAAACATATATATAGGAAAAACTGAAAAGTCAACATTTCATTTCTCTCTTACTACACTTAGGCAACCTCCTCTTACATTCAACAAAACAATCAGCTACTCCTTGTGTACAGTATGGATCGCCTAGGACACAGTCCATCTGCAGTATAGAATAGCTGTGATTCAAACCAAATTTTGTTAGTCTGTAGCAAGCAACAAATGTCTTCCACTGGGAAAAAAAAACCTGAAATATCCAGTTTCTTAAATATTTCTTGAGGAATAATGAAAATACTTTAGAAAAATAGTAATTAAAAATGATCGTGTGTATATGCACAGGAAAAACAGTGAAGGCAGTGAGACAGGAAAAAACATTTCAAACTTTTAAAAGCAGTACCTGGCTTATTTAGAATTAATTATAATGCTTCTACATTTACGATCAGGATAAAAGAATAAAGCAAACAAAGTCTTGATATGTTTGCAAGTACTACTTGTGTTGGCTCTGAGCTATTCATCCACGTGATCAGAAGTATCACTACCTGTTATCCATCATCATGTATTCCAGGAGCTACACCACATATGACAATCAAGAGACATAGTTATTAAAAACCTACCCAATAGGAACTCAGTATGTGTGAGAACAAAGGAGATCTTTAGTCCAAAGGGGGTGGGAAGAAGAAGGAAAAGAAATTAATCATAAGGAAAAAAATCTGTGTGCATCTAACATACCAAAAGCTCCAACATTCCATTCTAATAAAACATTCCATGATGGGCACAGACAGTTTCCACTGTGATTAACCTTAAGGTTTGGCTATTCAATCTCAGCTATTATTAAAATATTAAATATTGCAACCATTTGAAATTTTAACTTTAAATACACATTAAAAAATTAAAACATGTGAATGTTACTTATTTCAAACCATCTCTAAATTCAAATATTACTATTTTGCTTTTCCTTTTCATTGTTGTCTTTTCCAAAAGATATTAAGATGAGTTTGTATGAACAATATTTGTATTTTACAGACACACACAAATCTACAATTTCTGGATTATTTAAATCTAAAAATGGGTTATGGTATGCTATTATTCTCTACAGTTAAATACAAAGTGTGAATTTTGTTATCAGAGGCTGCCCCCTACAGACATTTATGTCTCCCATTCTAAAGAATCAACAGATGGTTGAAGAAACTACAATGGAGACAGAGACATACAGCTCAAAGCTGCAGTTATTTCAAATAAGGTAGGCTGACTAAACCTTGAGATCCAGTGAATAAAAATGAAAATTAGTTAACAATATTATGTACTGGAAATTTACTAAGAGAATAATCTTTAGGTGCCCTTACTACAAAAGAATAAAAAAGGCAACTGTGAAATAATGAATATATTAATTTGATTATCAAGCACAGTACTGTTTTACTATAGTAGTCATTTATGTACATACATACACACACACACACACACATACACACTCACAAATATGTTTGTGTATAAATATCAAAACATCTTGGAGACAAGCACGGTGGCAAACACCTGAAATCCCAGCAACTTGGGAGGTTGTAGAAGGAGAATCACAAGTTCAAAGTCAGCCTTCAAATAATTAAGACCCTGTCCCAAAATTTTTAAAAACGACTGGGATAGAGCTCAGTTGAAGAGTGCCCCTGGGATCAATCTCTAGTACCATAAAGCAAACAAAAAAAAGATCACATTGTATACCTCATACACAAAAAAAGTTTTAAAAACATAAACATTTTTTTAAAAGAATATCAATCTCCTACTCAATCAAAAAAGCAATCCTGATAAAAAGTAATTCTTATTCAGAAAGTTCTCACTCTTGGGCTCATTTTGACAATAAAACCAGAGAACCTTGACATGAATCAACTAGTTTCTTTGAATTTTCCTTCAAAATCTCTCTCTCCTTTACTCCCTCCTTCTCATTTTCTCTCACACACAATGGACAGGAAGATCTCCTGGGATGTAAATTTAGAAAAAGATACTTTACCTCTTAGAAAGTATAGGAGTGTGGCTTTAATTTATACTTCATGCATGTCAGAAGTGTTGAAAGTCTTTATAAAGAGGAGGTCTGGGTTGTATAATTAAACAAATTTTTAGAAACAGTATAAAAGCTTTAAAAAACAACGTAAGAGAATCTTTATAACTTCAGGGTATGAAGAGATTTCTTTAAAAGGGGGAAGAAAGAAAAAAAAATGATATACTCCATGAAAAGCGTTTAACACAATGCAAAAAAAAAAAGGGGGGGGAAGAAAGCACTTATTAAAAAGTAATAATAATAGGGGTTGGGGTTGTGGCTCAGCGGTAGAGCACTCATCTCTCACATGCAGGACCATGGGTTCAATCCTCAGCACCACATTAAAAAATAGATAAGTGAAATGAAGGTATTGTGTCCAACTACAACTAAAAAATAAATAAATATTTTTTAAAAGTAATAATAAACTAATACCTTATATTTACCAAGAGATGACATAAAGAAAGTCATCTTTTTTTGAAAAGATTACAACACACATTATGTAACAAAGAATACCTAAAAAATATGTACATATTCATAAGAAAAAGAGAAACAACATAAAAGAAAAATGGGCAAAAGACTAGAACAGGTACTTTATCAAAAGAGGAAAGGTGAATGACTAAGCAAGAGGTCTACCAGGATCTGTTTCATTAGAATCACTTAGTATTTATATGCTATAATATTCCTTTGTATGGTCATTACTTAATGACAGCACTTGTTAGCATAACGTTTGAAGTAAGAAAAAAAAAGAAAGGAAGGAAGGAAGGAAACAGGGCTGAACTCTTTAAGTAAAGCTGGTACCTTTAACATCAGGTCTAATGTAAGACAGCAGATTAAGCTCCCCTGGCTTCTCCAGCAGGGTCCAGGCTGCTCTTTCTAATCCCAGCTGCTTTGCTCTTTGGGCTTTGGTGCCTTTGCTCCCAGTTTTATAGGGAGCAGACTAGGAAAAAAGAAGGCGGGGGGGGGGGCATAAAACACTTAGGATTCAGTTTTAAAAAGCAAAAGTTAAAAAAACTAAGATGCAAAATAGAGGACACACTAAGAATTCTGAAGATCTCCTTTTCTTAAACCTTTCCCCTTCCTTCAGACATAAATTTGTATTAATTAACTAATACTTATGAAGATGGTGTATGCCTTATCCTATTCTTTATACTTTTAAGAATGCTTAATTAGTTATTTGTTTACTTATCTTAAAAACCACCTGACTGAAAGGTCCTCTTCTCAACTCAAGCAAGCTACTCTAAAATTTGTCTGCTTAGGATACTTCTACTTAATCACATTCATTCCTCAACCCGCCACCATCTGGCTTCTAGAAAAGAAACACCTTACTGAAAGTGGTATCACAAAAATCTATGAAGAACCCCTAAGTATATACAGCTTTCAGTTTTATCTCACCAAACCTCCTCCACTTACTTAGTGATTGTTTCCCTCATTCTAAAACTCTCTTCCCTACCTACCGTCCATGTACCATCAACTCTGGATTGTCCCCATAATTCTCTAACCATTTTTTCCATGTCTCTCTAGGTTCTCCCCTCCTCACTTTAAGCTGATGTTGCCCAGTGGCTCATTCTGACCTGCCTACCCACTTAAATAAGTTCTTCCACTCTCATAGTTTCTAACACAACCCTCCTATAGTTATCCATGGGAGACTGGTTTCCGGCATGCCCTTCCCTTCCTCCTGGATACCAAAACCTGATCATGCTCAGGTCTATTATATAAAATGGTATGGCATTTGCATATAATCTATGCATATCATCCTGTATACTTTAAATCATCTCTAGATTACTTAGACCATCTAAAACAATGTAGACATATGTAAATAGTTGTTATATTGTATAGCTTTGGGAATACTAACAAAAAACTCCATACATGTTCAATACAAATACAACACTTTTCAAATATTTTTGACCAACATTGGTTGAACACATGGATGTGGAACACACAAATAAATAACTGAAGGGCCAACTATACGTAAAGACACTCATATCTAGGTCTCCAGTTTAGCCCTCTCCCTTAAGCTTCACATTATTAACCTACTCTTCTTTCACTTGATGGGGAATTCCTTGGGAGTAAGGACTGCATATTACCCATATTTGTAAACCCAGTGCCTAACACAAAAAAAGTATTCAATAAGTATTTATTGAACAAAGGATAAGTATTTTGAGGAATTAAGTAATGGTGGCTAATAACTTTAGCTTTTTATGTCTTGGTCTTCAATTATAAAAAGACCCAAATCATAATATATTCAGGCATTACATTAAAAGATAAAAAGAGTTCCTTACCACGTGTTCTAGTTCTTCAAAAGTTTTACAGTTCAGCAAGGCTTTTAGTAAGCATTCAGACATCTTCCCTTCCTTCTTAATTTTCTGGATTGTACTATGAACCTTCTTAGCAACAGCCCTGAAAATAAAAACTTTTGTAATATACAAGACCTATACATTAAGACTTTCTTTTTGAGCCTATCTCAAAAAGTTGCAGATAAAGGAAAAGGAATCCTTTTTCCTCTGATTCATTTGAGAATAATACTGCCCCCCCCCACACATTTTAGTGTGTTATTTCCTATTAAAAAAATCTACAAAATCACAAAATGATCTTTAACACCAAATAATTAATAATGATGCATTATCATCATCTAATACTCAGACCTGAGGCCTTATCCAAGTTTCATCAACTGTTTGAACAATGTCTTTGATAGGGTGCAGTGGTATACACCTGAAATCCCATCTACTCAGGAGACTGATGCAGGAGGATTGCAAGTTCAAGGCCAGCCTCAACAACTTAGCAAGACCCTATCTCAAAATGAAAAAAAATAACAAGGGCTAGTGATATCACTCACTGGTAGAGTACTCATGGGTTCAATCCCTAGTACCATAATAATAGTCTTTTGTAGTATATTCACTTCAGAATTACAAGTTCCACGTATCTCGTTTCCTTCAAAATCAAGGCCTTAATACTTTTAAATGCTGTAGGCAAGTTATTCTGTGTGAAGTCCCAAAGTTTAGGTTTTTCTGATGTTTCCATATAGTTAAACTCCACTGGTGTCTCCTTGCAGGAACAGCTTAGAAGTGACTCTGGTCTTTTACCACAATCCATTAGGTGGCAAGTAATTTGATTTGTCCCATTACTGATTAATTTTGATCCTTATATTATCTGATGTCTGTAGGTTTCTCCACAATACAGGTACTCTTTATTCCCTCTGTAATTAATGTTTTGTGTAGAGGTGCTTTGAGACTATGTAATTATCACATTCCAGATTAAGGTTTCAATTTACGCACAGATTCATTTCTATTACTCTAAATTTGTGGTTTCTTTTTTATTTAGTTGTAATAATCCATTGCGATCATTTATTTTAATGGTCATATTGTCCCCAATGTGACCAGACATAACCCCTTCAAGCTTGCTGCTGTATCCTTCTGACATGTCTCCACCATTGTTTGAACCCCAAGTTATTCTTATTCTCTGCTACAAGATATTCCAGGCTCATCCTTTACATTCTCTGTCCCAGCCCTGGAATCAGAAGAATGGCACTTAGAAACCAAGTTATGGGTATTAGGTGTGCTCACTGCTATGGGATTATCATTACTCAAGATGGGCACACCTAGCACCCACAACTGGTTTCTAATACCATTCTCCACTAAAAAGAAACAGGATTTCATGTAAAAATGCTGATTCCAGGAATCAACATACAGGAATCAATTTACAAATAAGGGGAAGGGAAGGGTATAGTAGTTTTCCCCACTTTACAATGGCTTTTCTCTGTGCATATACAATTCTCTTCCTATATATAATGGATCTCACCCTATTTCATTCCCTATTCCTATTTATAGGTTCTGTTTAATAAGGGTATTACTAGAGTGATGGGTAAAAGTTAACAATAATGATTACAAAGAATTGATAGAAAAAAAATTAAATCTATTTATATTAAGAAAAATATTGAAGAAGATTGTCAATTAAAGGAAAAAAATGTGAACTATGAAATTTTAATTTACAACTTTTACATCTTTTATAATCCTGGTAACCCAAGCCATTCGCTATCAGGGTCATTTTGACAAAAGGCTAATATTCTAATGGCCTGCATATAAGGAAAAGGAAAAAAAATTCAGGAAACTTTCCTTACTATCCAGAGGTATATTACTTAATTCCCTTTCTAACAGCCATCCATACTAATATATTTTAACTCACAACTAATTTTATATTCACAAACACACATACACACACATAACTGAAACAATGTTTCATGAAACAATATTTTCCTTTACCATATAAACTGTGCCCTTATGTTTTCCATTTTATTTTTTAAATGGGATGAATTATTGGTTTCACTTTTCATATACAGGTAACATTTAATGGATTGAAAATTAATATTCTAGTTATAGAACATGCTGAGCTTAAGTCTGGAGATTCCTCAGAAAACTTGGGATGGAATCACCACTTGACCCAGTTATCCCACTCCTTAGCATATACCCAAAGGACTCAAGATCAGCGTGCTATAGTGACACAGTCACATCAACATTCATAGCAGCTCAATTCACAATAGCTTTTAGCTATGGAACCAACCTAGGTACCTACAAAGATGAATGGATAAAGAAAATGTGGTACATACACACAATGGAATATTAGTCAGCCACAAAGAAGAATGAAATTATGGCATTTCCCAGTAAATACATGGAAATGGAGACTGTCATGCTAAGTGAAATAAGCCAATTCCAAAAAAAAAAACAAAAGCCAAATGTTCTCTCTGATATGCAGACGCTGACTCACAATGGAGGGAGCATGTCACTGGATTGGGGGTGGGGGGGCGCATGTATGGGGATGGGAAAAACAGTAGAACAAACCAGACATAACGTTCGTATATTCACATATGAATACATAACAAGTGTAATTCCACATCATGTACAACCACAAGAATGGGAAGTTATACTCCATGTTTGTATGATATGTATTTGGACATATCATACATACATGGTATATATATCTCTCTCTCTCTCTCAATATAAATATATATTTATATATTTATATTGAGAGAGAGAGAGAGTAAATAAAAAATAAAAGAAAATGCAGAGCTTAAGAAAAAGTAGAGATTATATGTCTCATTACCAAAAAAGAAATGTAATGGAAAAAGATCTTCTAAGCCTCAATGTTTCCACTTATGTCAAGGAATATTCCTTTAGTAATAGTTAATGTATTCCTCCATTAACAGAAACCCAAATAATGAAACTCTTTTGCAGAAGGGCTTTTTATAGAAAAAGAAAACATTAATAATAATCTTGACATAAAGTTTCTTTTTGTCCCATACTATAAAATATTGTTAGAATACCTTTAACTTTAAGCAAACCATTCTTGTGTGACACTGTCCCCAAATCCTCAGGCTTTCTTTACTACCTTGCTTTCAACCAAGCAGAAAGCTTACTTAGAATTTGCAAATTACTGGCCTGTAGACAGTTTGTTTGGTCCAGAAACTCCTTACATAAAATTCTAGATTAGCAGCTTCTTTTCACATACAGGAAACTCCAGCAAACTGGGCAGTCAACTCTGCATGTCGTGATTCCCAGGAGATAATTAAGGGCTCCCCTCAGAGACAAGACTTGGGATCCCTAAGTCTTTTTTTTTTTTAATGTTTAGTTGTAGACAGACACAATACCTTTATTTTATTTATTTATGTGGTGCTGAGAATCAAACCCACGCATTCGAGGCAAGTGCTCTACCACTGAGCCACAATCCCAGCCAGTAATCTCTACTTCTTATCCCCTGATGCTTGATTATACTATCCAGGCTGGAAGATCTACATCTAAGACCATCTGTTTGAGAACTCATTTATGCTTCTGAATTGGCTAATTTATTCTGCCTCTCAAGGAAATATAATTTACTAGACACTAACACTTTAATTGTCCTGGCAGTAAAAGAACATCAACAAAAGTAGTAAAGTTGGTGAAATACAAATTCCCCATACATCACAGAAAGCTTATCAGGATAATTTTACAAGTAACCATTAGTACTTTTTAAAATGGCTTGAAAGAAGAATTATATCCAATTTTAATCAGATCCTTGCTGTAGACCTGAAGAATATACACATCACACATTCCTGTAACAAACATGCAATAAATGCACAAAATGATATACAGTGTTTTAATAAACCATTGTAAGTAATATGGTCACTCTTATATACTTATTACTCATATTGAAGTTATTAAATTATCCACTTTTTAAAAGGTACTTTCCATTCTACAATCATAGAAAAATTACAATCCACTAAAATTAAACTATCCTTATCTTTAAAACGAATGGAAAAATATACTTCCTACCAAACACTATAGAAATGATCCTTGACTTACAATGAGATTATGGCTCAATAAGCCCATTATAAATTGAAAATATTATAAATCAAACATGCATTTAATATACAAATAATCTAACAAATATAACTTAGCCTAGCCTACCATAAATGTGCTCAGAACACTTTTTTCAATTGGGCAAAATCATCTAACACAAAGCCTACTGTATAATAAAGTACTGAATAGCTTATATAATTTTTTTAATACCTGTATCCAAAAACCATTGGCAACACTGTGCAGTGTGGAGTGTGGCTTGTTTGCTCTAGTGATCACATAGCTGAATGAAAAAAAACGATCACAAGAAAAACTGTAGGATACAGCTAACCTAGGAAAAAATTAGAATTCAAAATATTCAAAGTATGGCTTCTACTGAATGCTTATGGTTTTAATCATCATAAAGTCAAAAAAACTGTTAAGTCAAAGTATCGTAGGTTGGAGACCATCTGTACTTCCAAAGAACTCTCCATTTAGGGACTTTGTAGTATTAATAGCACAGTTTTATGTAAGCTGTTGAAGAGTTAGACTAAAATGTACTTTTCTGAGTTTCCTGCTGGCAGTCCTGATTTTACCATTTTTTGCTGGCAAAAATGGCAAATCACTTCTATGCATGAAGATGACATCAAACCCTGAGGCACACTCAACTACAAACCACCTTTCCACTGATTCATGCCCAAGCTATTCAAACACACACCAGCAGAGGGACTCATACACAACCAAATATGTAAAACAGAGCTGACTGTCCTAAGAGGACCACATTCAATTCTAGAAAAGTAAACTTTGGAACTATTAAAATAAGCTGTCATTCACTTCCTCCCAGTTTTTCCTCATTGGCTTACCAGGTCTCTATTCCCTTACATTAGGTTCATCCCTTCCCAGGTTTCTTACCGTAGCTCCTCTAGGGTTTGTCGAACTTCTCTCAAAGAATCAGCATCAAGGTTATTAATGAGTTCTTTTCGATAACGTATAATGAAGGGAATTGTGTTATCATCATTAAAGAGACGAATGATGTTGGCACAAACCCAAAGTTCAATGTTGGTTCTCTCAGATAAAACCTACAAGTTAAAGATATATAGTGATTTAAAACACTGAAAATTAGACATCTATGTTATATAGCTTCAAATACAGTATTAAATATTGCTTTCCAGGCACTTAGAAAACAAATAGTTTTTAAAGGAAACCATATGAATTATATATATGAACTGGAAGAGCATTTCCAATAATGCAATGATGCTCTTTTCATTTCTCAAAGTAATAGCAAAGATCAAGGAGTTGGTAACTCACTATGTTGGCCTGAGTACAGAGAAAAAGCATTTTTAATCACCACTAGTGACAAGATACAATGGTTTAACCTTTGGAGGAAGAACAATTTGGCAATATCTATCAAAATTTACAATGACTAAATTGTTTGACCCAATAGTTCCACTCCTGGAAATTCATCCTAATATTGACATACCTCTGGTAAATATACTATTTTAAATGATTTTTCCTTTTGAAGAACTGTTTCTAACATAGTAAAATTCATCAAAAACCTAAATTTACAATGGGGAACTGGTAAATGAATTACAATATGCCCAGTATTGTAGAATACTGTGCGACTATTTAAGAATATGACGCAACCCTAAATGAACTGATAGGGAATGGTTCATAAGAACATGGACCATGATTATTTGCAGGAAAAGTAACTGGTCAGCTGAGGATTAAGGTAGGAAGACCCATCTATATTTTTTAAATTTTGTAACATGCACAGATACCACACAGTCAAAATAGTTAAATTATTTTTAAAAATGAGTCACAGGTCACAGCAAAATGTACATGTAAGCAGAAAAGTCAACCTGGAGAAGAGAAAGAATAAAACTCAATTTCAGTAACTTTTCCCAAAGAAAAGAACAAAAGAATTTAAGTTTTATTATAATTTCAACCTGGATGCCCAAGATCTGCCAAAACTTGAGAAGTGGGAGGAACCTCAGGGGAAAAATTATTTAAACATTATAATCAACTAACAAAATCAAGTCAAGATATGACTGAACTCCAGGAACTAGAGAGGACACCTCATTCTCTAGGTATCTAAAATTCTGAGACATACATCTCTATTTCCCATTCTGATAGTTTACTACCAAATCTCTGATAAGGGCATCAATTTTTACATCTGTAGTCCTTACTCATCTCAGCAAAAGCTCCAAACACCAACTACTTAACATATTCTCTCAGAAATCTAACTGGGCATTTCGACCTTGAATTTGCAAAGTGTTCTTCCTCTCAAACTTATTCCTCCAGCTTTCCTCATATAACTAATATCTTTTCAAACAATGCAAGCAGGAAAGTCTTCCATTTCCTTCAACTCTTAAACCAATCCATCATTAAGAACTGGTCAACTCTAACTACAAAATAACTTCCTAAGTCTCTGTGTTTCTTCTGCCCTATACCCCAGTCTATTTCTACTATTTTCTACTGAAATAGCCTGCATTTGCTCCAGTCTCATTTTCTATACAACACCAATAATAGTCTTTTCAAAATGTCTATCTGATCACGTCACTTAACTGATTTTCCATTGCATTTGAAACCCAAACTCTTTGCCATGACCCAAAAGACAGCAGCCTCCCTTTATCAACCTCATCTTATCCTTCCTTCTCCCAATGGTTCTGGAACAAGCCCAGTTGCTTCCCTCTTGAATGAATTCATGAAGCTGCTCCACCATATGGAAATGCTCCTCTTCAGCATTTTCTCTCTTAAACCTGTACCTTTCCCCATTTATTATTCTAGTCAACAACATCCACCACAGAGACCTTAAAGGATTTTGTGGTTATCTCCTCCAAACTATGGTTACCTCTTTGTTATGTAGCAGCTATTGGTTTGACAGTACTTGACCCCAATTTCAGCTCCATTTGCTTCAAATAATTTTTATAAGAATTAACAGCCAGGTAAATTAAACCAACCAACATGAAACTCAAGATTTGGACTGGAATTCTGGGCCCCAGTACAATGTCTTCTTCTGGAAAAATACAGTTTGTTGATGTAGATCATGAAGCTTAACTATTTTGCTATAAAGAAGACAGTAGTACTGAAAGAATAGTAGAAATACACTGACCCCCAACTTTCCTATTTTGTAGGTCAATAAATCTCCTTTATTTCTTTTTTTTAATATTTATTTTTTGTAATTGTAGTTGGACACAATATCTTTAATTTTTATTTATTTATTTATTTTTATGTGGTGCTGAGGCTCAAACCCAGGGCCTTGCATGTGCGAGGCGAGCACTCTACTGCTGAGCTATAACCCCAGCCCTTCCTTTGTTTCTTAAACTAGTTTAAGATGGGTTTTCTTTTTTTGTAACCAAAAGCATTCTAATTAAAGATGTCAACATCACTGTGGATTCTCTATCACACCCATTTAATGTGTCACCAAGGAGGAGAATAAACTTGTAAGACATCTGTTCCCTCCCCTTGAGCTCCTTTTTCACTAATGAAATATTTTATCTTTAATACATAGTAGTATGTTGTTGTCATTATTATTGTTCTCTATCCATCCAGACTCTCTGCATGACTACTGATTATATTTTTTAAATATAGATATAATCAGAAACTGCTATGGTTTGGATATGAGGGATCCCCCAAAGCTCCTGTGTTAATGCAGGAATGTTCAGAGGTAAAATGATTAGATTATGAGAGTTGTAACGAATCAATTGTAGCAAGCCAATAGCTGCTATATAACAAAGAGGTAACCATAGTTTGGAGGAGATAACCACAAAACCTTTAAGGTCTCTGTGGTGGATGACGATATTGTTGACTAGAATAACAAATGGGAAAAGGTACAGGTTTAAGAGAGAAAATACTGAAGAGGAGCATTTCCATATGGTGCAGCAGCTTCATGAAGGTATTCAAGTGGGTTCAATCCCCACTGGGTTCAAGTCCCACTACTGGGCTGGGTAGTAACTCTGGGCTAGTGGGGTATGACTGAAGGAGGTGGGCAGAAGAGGGGATGCCCTTAGGGATTGTATCTTGTTCCTTCAGCTCCTCCCTTGCATTCTTTCTGCTTCTAGGCTGCCATAAATAGAGCAATACTCTTCCACCATGCTCTTTTGTTATGTTTGGCCTCACCTTGGGCCCAGAGCAATGGAGTTGGCCCACCATGGACTGAACCTCTGAAACTGTGAGCCAAAATAAATTTTTCCTCCTCTAAAGTGTCCTTGATAGGTATTTTGGTCACAGCAACAAAAAACTAACACAGACCCCTTGTTTTTTCTTTTCTTTTTTGAACATCATCCAGTGATTTTAATCTACTTACTGGAAAAGGTGTAACCACGTAGCATAGTTTTAAAATTCCTTCCCAAGTTGAGGCTCAAACTTTTACTGTCCTCAAAGTAGTTAGCAATATAAAAAGGAAGATAAAATATTAACGCAAACAATTACAAATAAAACAGCACATGCCAGACAGTAAGTAGTACCATGCTTTCAGAAAAGAACAAGCTTTCTTTGGGATAATCAAGAGGTGCCTATTGCAGGGGTAGCATTTCACTTGGCCCTTGAAAGACAGGCAAGATTCTGAAAGATAGTAATGAGAAATGGAAGTGACAAAAATGCTCATTTTGAAACTGTGTGATTGTTAGTGTAATGAAAGATTATACTAAATAGATCAGCTGTTGCTGAGTAACAGAATTTAAAGCTAAGCATAGTGGAGCACCAGTGACTGGGGAAGAGGATCACAAGTTTGAGGCTAGTCTTGGCAACCCTGTCTCAAAATAAAATAAAAGAGGATGGGGGGGTGTGGCTCAGTGGAAGAAACCCCCTGGGTTCAATCCCCAATACCACAAAAAAAAAAAAAAAAAAGTCTAAGCCAAAATCCCAGACTCACACTTGGATAATACTAGGTCCTAAGGAATCCAGCTAGCATCACAGGTATTAAGGGAGTATACGTTGCTACTTATACAAAACTGCTCATTGAAATTAAAACTAACAAAACTACATAAGCAGTCATCACTTTTGGGCCTCCAAATCTCTTCTATGTTGATTTTTGTCAAACATTATTTTACTTCATATTACATGTCAAAGGCCATATTAAGCCAGTAATAACCAAGATATTACACTTGATCTTAGCCAAAAGGCTGAGAAGCGATAATAACCAAGATATTAAAAAACCAAGTTCCCAAGGCTGTCAGGGTACATTAGAGGCAGGGCACCTACCTAGCACACAGATCCTATGTTAGATTCTCAAAGCACACACACACACACACCCCAACTCCCTGTTCTCCAGGCACTAACAACCTAACAGAAATCAACAGTTAAAATATAGTGTGATCTCTATCTAGTTGAAGCATAAGTACACAGTTTTAAGAGCACAGGAGCACAGCAACAACAACAACAAAAAAAAAAAAAAAAAACAAGTAAATGAAGGTATCTCCAGACAGCTAAATGAGGGGCAGGAATCCAAGAAGAATGAACAGCATATCAGAAATCAGTGATGAGAAATCACTGTACATTCTTTAAATTGCTAAAAGTTCAGTAATGCTGAAATGTGCATGTGGTAGAAATGCAAAGATGGATGGGGCTAGATGATAATTCTATAAAGAAAGAATTTTGTTTCTTCTGTGCGCAGAAGGAAGACATTCAAGGACTGATCTGCTCATTTCTTGGTTTCAGTGAATGAGTCAAATCTGTAAGCTGTTACATTTGAGTTAACAAGATCTGTGAACTGCAACGGTGGTTCACAGAGTGTGTGGTCCCAAACCAGTAGCATAATTACATCATCTAAGAACTTGTTAGAAATGAAAATTCTTGTGTGCTGCCTAAAATAAACTGAATCAGAATTCAGGGATATGGCCCAGCAATCTGTATTTTAGAAAAATGAGGTAGCTGGGTGCTGTGGTACGCTCCTGTAATTCCAGTGGCTTGGGAGGATCACAAAGTTCACAAGGATCACAAGTTCAAGGCCAGACTCACCAACTTAGCAAGACCCAGTCTCAAAAAAATAAAAAGGTCTGGGTTACAGCTCAGTGGCAAATCACTCCTGGGTTCAATCCCCAGTATATAATATAACTAAGTGAAAAGGAGAGGACAAGACTTATGGATGGGGAGGGATGGGGCAGGGAACAACTGTGCTTTTTACTTTTAAACTATTCACATATATTACTTTATTTTTAAAATTAACTGGTAGTAATGAAAGCAAGGTTTTAAAGGCAGTCTTGAATTATTTTTTTAACCTCTAAGTTTTAGAGAGGTTATTTTTATTGTTTTATGCTAAAACCTTTATAGGGTTTATTATGTGGTAAACTCTCTTATGCATTCAATATTAACTCATTTAAATTACATGAGATAGGTACAATAATTATTCACATTTTATTGACACAAAAACTAAAGACCAAATTAATCAAGTAAATTGTCTCAACTCCCAAAGGCTATATTACACCTTCAAAAATTCAAATTTTATGCAAAACAAGATGTCTTTTCATATAAAAATACAAATTGCTCAAATTGCCTCACTTTTCTTCCTGAGCGCAACTGCAGATAGGTAGCTCAAGGTGTCTTCCTACCACCCTCCAACTGTTAAAAAGGTATACACCTCAGTGATAGAGCGCTTGCTTAGCATGCACAAGGCTCTGGGTTCAATCCCCAGAAACATGACAAAACAATAACTCCAAGAAAATGCCTTCTCCCAGGGTGACCTAAGATTTACTCGTCCAAATGAAAATTGCCATTCTCTCAGTTCAAAAGAAAACATCTGGGCATCAGCAAATACACTATAGCTCTAAACATTCAGGAAGCATCTGCTTCCAAAAAAAAAAAAAAAAAAATCAAAATTAAATGAGTCTCTAGTGAGTAGAATTGAGAGGATTTTCTATTCAGAATCACTCCCAAATCACAATTGGACACCTCCCTTCTGAAAAGCTGTTGATTCCTGCTATTCTCTCTACCCTTCTCTAGTTTATTGTATCACTTATTTTATCACACACACCAAAATTTTCCTTAAAGACTGAAGAAGGAAAACTAAACTATGCTGTTAGAAATGAGAAGAGTGGTTATAAGAGAAACAAGAAGGAATTGGAAAAGGGTATGATGGGGGATTGTGTTGTTTCTTGACATGGTTACCCTTTTGAACATTCCTGGGCTATACACTTAAATAAATTTTCTGTATGTATGTTATACTTCAAAAAAAAAATTTAAGGCCATAACAAATACTATCAGTTAAATTACAGAAACAAAAAATATTCTAATTTCTTTTATTTAATCTCTCCTAGGACAAATAAGTTGCACCTACCAAATGGTTCTGCATGTAGATGCAGAATTACAGTGAAATGACCAGCTCACAGACACTGTCCACCTTTTCATCCCACTTCTTCCCACACTTTTGTCATCCCATGCAGGTCTTCCCCCATATAATCCCACTCTCCTAGAACAAAGGGGAAAATGGCTCATAAATAGGTTTTTGTTTCCTTTAGCTCCTTCATTTAGCAAATGTTACTAAGATAGGCATAGTTACTCCACTCCCCTATGCCCACCCTAAAAATAAGGAAACGATGTAACAGCAATCACAACTTTGTAGCAGTTTAATTTTTTCAAAAATTGATTACTGCTACTTACTTTTTAAAATGTTCTAAAACTCATAGTGTTGTTATATATTTGCATAATGGATTTTAACAAAAATTAGTTCCTGGTGATAACCATACAATTGCAGTTTGAGAGAAAGGGATGAAAATGAATAGGTTGCTTTTGCTCAAGAGATCTAGTCATCCCCAGACCCTGATCAGAAACTAGACAAATATGTTCATATGTAAAGCCTAAAAATAAATCAAGTTGGCTATGTAGTTTTCCCTCCCCAAACAAGATGGTAATGTTCCTGAAAAAGCAGTGGAGTTTTCAGAATTCAGAAATATACCTGAAGAAAAAAAATTGAGGATCAGGCATGGTGGTGGGCAGGGGCCATGAGAACTAGCACACAGAATAATAATTAATAATAATTAATAATTATTACAATCAATTTCCATTGACCATTCCTCACTGGCTAGGTACTATTAGGGATTTACCAAAAGAACCTGGGCATACATTTTGTGGCAGATAATATAAGCATTATAGACAAATCATACAGTCTGGTCCTTATGCAAATGTTCAGACCCTCCTGATTTTCCACTGACTCAGTCTTCTCACTCCCTGTTCTTCCAACACCAGCCACTTTCTCAACCATGTTAGGAAGCATAAATATGATTTTAAGACAAAACTATTCTCTAACACAGAGTTTCTCTTGTTTATGGTGGAATTTAAAATATATATATATATATATATATATATATATATTATATATTTCATTTCATATATGTATGAAATGAAATACACATTTCATACATACATTATGGTATTTCATACATATATAAAATGAAATACACATTTCCAATTACGATTTCCATAAAAGCTAATTTAAATTTAGCAAGGAATAACTGCATTTGATTAACTGAAAAGAACCCAAACATGTAAAAAATTCTTAGCAGTTTCCCAGGCAATTTCCCTTAAGCTTACCTGGAAAACATTGGACTTAATAATTGTCATCAAGTTGCTCAGCTAAGGTGAGCAACCACTTTTCCCAGCTCACAGAAAAGACTGCCCAGATTCCCTGAGAACAGGATTTCAGCCATCAAAAATCACTTCCAATAAGGAGAAGGAGGGAAAAACTGCTTGAATTAAAAGTTAAGATTAGAGTATGTATGTTTTCCAAGGAGACCAAAGACTGTAAAATGTTTTTAGGGTCTTAAAAATGAGATAACACTCTTCCACTTGATGTTCCCACAATTAATGGACACTGCTGCTATGGTTTATAAATGAACCTTCTCCTTCTGCCTGTTTTCTGCCACTTACCCTGACAGCTGGACTCTTGTCTCTCAACATAGGTTCCCCTCCTCATTCTATTCAGCAAGTAATCTCACCTTTCTCTTTTATTTTTGAAAAAGTTTTGTTTAGCTGCTATCTTACTGACATTACAGAACTCATTAGCGAACCCAGGTAATCTCCCCTAATAAAAAATAAAAAGTCCAGGTTAGTGAATTTTAGATTTAATACATTATGATATTTAATACATTGAAATTCATAATCAACTTTAGTCACACCTATTAGAGAAAGGACACACCCTATAGAAACTAAATTCTGCAAACACTTTTGAGTTAATTCTCAGTAATTTTTAACTTTGAGATGACTTCTCTTTAGTCCTTATTATATAAGCAAAAATATTTCTGTCTATTCCAATCCTAGCTATAATTGATTTTTGAGATTATACATTATTTCTAATAATCTATCATGATAATAAATAAATAAATAAAAGAAAGTAATAATTAAGTGCCTGGTATGGAGCCTAGCCTATCCCATAATAAATCATCTGCAAGTAAATGGCAAATATTATCCCTTGTCAATTACAGATCTGTGAACAAACACTTTAAGGTATTACAGCAGTGATTAAAAATAAATTCTAAAAAATATGTAAATCTTCATTAAGAGCCCAATCTTAATACTATCTTCCAGTCTGGAACTGTATGTTTTGTTTTTGGGGTTTTTTTTTTTTTTTTTCTCCCTTTGGAGAAGTGTCTTTTTACCAACACTGCCTTTTCTATTATTTACAAACAGAATGCCAACAGTAATTTTTTTTTTAATATTTATTTTTTTTTTTTAGTTTTCGGTGGACACAACATGTTTGTTTGTATGTGGTGCTGAGGATCAAACCCGGGCCGCACGCATGCCAGGCGAGTGCGCTACCGCTTGAGCCACATCCCCAGCCCCAAACAAGAGTAAATTTTAACCATGATTGTTTTCTTTCTGGCTCACTAAGGAATAGAATGTTGCCTCGCAGCTTTTTTTCTTACTCTCATCCCTGAATTAAATAGTCTAAGGTATCTTGCAGAAACTATAATTAGGCTCCTTCTTATGTCTTCTTTTGCTTTATTCATTTAAACCTAAAAGATAATGCTTTTGAATTGTGGGTCATAGATCTATATTAGATTCATCCTGAAGTCTATTTCTACTTGAAATGGTCCCAGATGTGTGGTATCAGACAAAAGAATCACTGCTCATGAGTTACTCATCAGGACCCTTCTACTCATCCCAAAGCCAATCCCCCACCTCTGAAAAAGGGAAAACAAAGAAAGAAATCCTATTTCCCTGTAGTAAAAGATATCATTTTGGCATCTCAAGTTTAAAATCTTAAAAATTTCCCTTTGGAAGATTGCTAGGCTTGTTCATAGTACATTACAATACATTAAGGTTTAAATAAAGGCATGAATTGCCAATGACCTAACGACCTGAACTAATTTTATGGTGAAAGATAGTCCAACTTCAAAGCAAAAATAAAGCAGTGAACCTCTGAGGTCTCAATCTGTTGGTATAATCTGTCCACATAGTATATGTCTGCTATAGTTTAGATTTAGAATATTCCCCAAAGGCCCAAGTCTTAGGGTTGGTCCCTAGCTGAGTACCACTGGGAGATGGTAGAACCTTTAAGAGTGAGGCTTAGTAGAGGATCTTAGGTCACTTAGTCACTTAGGTCACAAGATGGAATCTTGGGACCCTGACCTTCCTCTTTCTTTCTTTGATTCCTGATGGCCATGAGGTAAGTAACTTGTCCAACCATATACTCTTGCTATGGTATACTGCCATAGGCCCAAAAGCAATGGGGTCAATCAACCCTGAATTGAAACCTTCAAACCTTCAAAATAAACCTTTCCTTATTATAATTCATTCATCTCAGGAATCTGTTATAGCAACAGAAAACTGATTAACACAATTAAAACACCATGGCAAAGACCCACCTTGACCAAGTTCACAGCTCTGAGCCAAAGAACTGATGATGATGATAAGCCATAATACAAAATAGCATGCTCTAGAAAAGAACCAGTGGTCAAAGCATCCAGATATCAGTGGGAATACTGAGGAGGGAGTTGAAAACTCCAACCCTTCTTTTAACCAGCACCACCCCTATTTCAAAAGGAAGGAATTAAATCAACTAAAGTAATAAGAAATGGCTGCACTTACCTGAACTATGTCCCAGTTCATTTCTACTTCCTCGTTGTTAATATTGTTGGCACTTGCTGGAAACTTGACAGGCTGCCCCTGAGGGCACATTTCAGTCTTGATTTTCTTTAAAGGAGACTGACCAAATGTAAAGTCATCTTCACTCTCTTCCTTCTTGCATGCACCTTCCCACATGGTGCTTGTTGATGGTATTTCTATATTATTAGTCCCACCCTCTAAATTGCTGGCTTTGCTCATTTCTTCTTCAATTTTCAGTTTTTTGGTCCTTTGAGCTGAATTTTTCCTTTTTGTCTTCGCTGTTTTCAGAGTCTGTACAGTGTCCAATTTGTTTTTTTCCTTTTCCAAATCAACATCAGCAATTGCCACAGAGCTATTCTATTAAGCCACAAAGAGAAGACATAAGAATTAGAAGATAAAAACCAATTTCCCTAGGATACTACTCAGAAATTAAAAGGAACAAATTATTGATATACACAATAACCTGGAAGACTCTCAAGGGAACCATGTTGAGTGGGGAAAAAGCCAACCTCAAAGTTACATACTACATGATTATATTTATATAACACTCATGAACAGATTAGTGATTGCAAAGAGTTAGAGATGTGAGTGGGGGAGGCAGGAAGGAGGTGGGCTTGGCTATAAAAGGGCAACACTAGGGATCCTTGTGATAATGGATATGTAAACCTATGCATGTGATAAAATTGCATAGAACTAAATACATACAAATGAACATAAGTAAAACTAGAGGAATCTAAATTATTAATGTCAACATCCTGATTGTAATATTTTACTAAAGTTTTGTAAGGTAAGTGAGTTTACTATTGGGGACAACTAGATAAATGGTACATGGAATCCCTCTGTGTTATTTCTTACTACTACATGTGAATTGTTTAAAAATAAAGTTTAATTTTAAAAAATGAATCTGTACATGCCAGAAAACAAAGATTAAAACCTATAATCAAAATCAACAACGGAAAGAAGACACTCATAAAAGCTACATGTGCCATCTATTTAATCAGAAGGAGAGAGAACAGAAAACAGAATGTCAGCAGGGTAATAGCGGGCATTTTCTTTAATCAGAGTCCATCCAGCAGTTTACACAGGAATCCAGGGACTACTCACTTCATCCCCACTTTCTCTCCCCATGTGACAGCTCAGCTGTGAAGGAAGGAAACCAGACACTTAGTACTGGGGATAGAGCAATAAATATATTCTGCCTTTAAGAAGCTTACAGTTTCACATGCTAGCTTTGTTTCCAGTTATTTAAGTAACACAGATGGCACAAACAAAAACAACAATGCCCAATCTTCTCTTCTATCAAATATTTTTCCAGAGTGATTGACTATTAAAAACATTGCGGGATTGGGGATGTCGCACAGTGGTAGAGCACTTGCCAAACATGCATAAGGCCCTGGGTTCGATCCCTTAAACACAATGGATCAGAAAAGAGATATGAAGATAATATGATGCTGAAGCAGAAAGAGTTGATAATAAACTAATTAAATAAATTGCTATAGCTAAAAAACCAACATATCAGTTATAAAGGGAATTGTCAGCCACAGAGGAACAGAAAAAGGGAAAAAGCAAATATGATCAGCATGGGCTGGGGTTGAGGCTCAGTGGTAGAGCATTTGCCTAGCACACGTGAGGCACTGGGTTCAATCCTCAGCACCACATAAAAATGAAATAAAGATATTGTGTCCACCTACAACTAAAAAATAAATATTAAAAAAAATATATGATCAGCATTCTTATAAGTAATGTACAAGAGAGAAGAAAGATCAGCAAATAGATCAAGTATTTTGGTCCCAATGGTAAGAGAATCCTGCTGTGAGATGAATATTTCAGACTACCTTAGCTCCATACAATTAAAACATTCAATTGTCACTGTGACAAGCACAATGGCTCCACCACAGGAAGCCTTCAGTAAACCCAATAAACAGTCAAGTCTCCCATTCTAAGTCCATGCTCATCAAGCAAATTTCTGATTCTTATTTATGGCCCAACTTAGGTCAGACTCCAATGAGAAAAAGTGCTAGCTATCAGAATTTTAAGACCTTCTGGTGATTATTTCAAAGTGTTAATTATTAAACTAGCACTCCAATTATATACATCACTCCTGAGTATGGCTAATGTGAAAACACTCATGAGAAATAGATGAGTTCCTGAAATGCTGACTTAGTATGTGATGGCACTGGTTTTCTATCTATGTACTATGAGCAAGTCACTTAAAATCACTTGCCTCAGCTTTCTTACCTATAACATCTGGAAATAACAGCACCTCTCTTAGCCAACAGTTGTAGCTAAGATTAAGATCATAAGAGTGAGCTGGGTGCAGTGGTACACGCCTGTAATCCCAGAGGCTCAAGAGGCTGAAGTAAGAGGATCACAAGTTCAAAGCCAGCTTCAGCAACTTAGCAAGGCCCTGTCTCTAAATATTGTTTAAAAGGAGATGGGTTTGTGGCTCAGTGGTTAAGTACCCCTGGGTTCAATTCCCTCTACCAAAAAAAAAGATCATAAGAGTTCAATGTTGAGCATATTGCTTGATTAACAATATTACTATTTGCTAATATTGCCATTATTACTAGGAGAGGAAAAAGAAAGCAGATGAAGAAACACAATAATCTGATGATAAATATTATTAAGATTAGGGGGTTAGGGTTGTGGCTTAGTGGTAGCGCACTTGCCTGGCATGTGTGAAATACTGGGTTCGATTCTCAGGATTGAATATAAATAAATAAAATAAAGGACTATCAACAACAACAAAAAAAAATTTAAAAAAAAAAAAGAGAGAGAGAGACATCTGGGAGTATAACTTAGAAGTCGAGTGCTTGCTTAGCATGCACAAGGCCTAAGTTCTATCCCCAGCACCACAAAAATGTGTGTGTATATAAAATATTGTATACATATATATATTTGTGTGTGTATGTATGTATGTATATACATATATACATATATATATAATATGCTATTGGGACCCATGAAGAGGGACACCACTGCCCTTCATTTTTTTTTTTTCTATTTGCATTTTGTCCTACTCTGTGTAAGGAGAAAGTAACATCCCAAATCAGGAAAACACTTCAGCCTTCCCCCTATCTAGGTTCAGCACCTACCAGCTCCTCTTTAACATCCACAACCCCTGAGACATCACTGATCAGTGGAGTGTTCTTCTTCACTCGAGGTACCCTTTTTGGTTTGGATTCCTTGGGGGCTGGCTGCTTACGGCTTCTGGAGACTTTCTTTTGGGGCTCCCAGGCACTATCTTCAGTGTCATCTTCTTCAGAGGCAGATGATCTAGCAGTAAATTGACAGAAGAATTTCCAGGGGAAAAAAATATATATTCAAAGGTAAAAAACAGACATATGTTTCTTAAAAAACTGATAAATTCAGATAAAATGGAGTGATAAGAGCATAAGCTGTGAACAATTATTGCTAAGAATTAAAAGAACAGAGTTGATTAGAGTATAAAAACATCTTCCCCATATCATATCATACACTTTAAATCACTGCTCTTGCCACTCTCCTCTCACTTAATCAACAAACATGTTCACAAACACCTTCATGACATGGAAAATCACTTATTACCTTAAGTAATTTACTAAGTCATGTCACACATAATCAATGTGAGCTTTTCAATTTTAACAGTGAAGAGCACTTAAATAAATTCCTAAGTGCTAATCAAATCTATTTAAATTGTATTGTTAATTTAAGTTCTTCTTTTCCTATTTTTATGCCTTTAATTTCTTTCGTCTGTACCTAGCAGACCCAAAAGGGTCTACAAAGAAACTATTAGAGCTAATAAATGAATTCAGCAAAGTGGCAAGATATAAAATCAACAAGCATAAATCAAAGGCATTCCTGTATATCAGCAACAAATCCTCTGAAATGGAAATGAGGACAACCACTCCATTCACAATATCCTCAAAAAAAAATAAAATACTTGGGAATCAACCTAACAAAAGAGGTGAAAGACTTATACAATGAAAACTACAGAACCCTAAAGAGAGAAATAGAAGAAGATCTTAGAAGATGGAAAAATATACCCTGTTCATGGATAGGCAGAACTAACATCATCAAAATGGCGATATTACCAAAATTTCTCTATAGGTTTAATGCAATGCCAATCAAAATTCCAACGGCATTTCTTGTAGAAATAGATAAAGCAATTATGAAATTCATATGGAAAAATAAAAGACCCAGAATAGCAAAAACAACTCTAAGCAGGAAGTGTGAATCAGGCAGTATAGCGATACCACACTTCAAACTATACTACAGAACAATAGTAATAAAAACAGCATGGTACTGGTACCAAAACAGGCGGGTGGACCAATGGTACAGAATAGAGGACACAGAAACCAATCCACAAAACTACAACTATCTTATATTTGATAAAGGGGCTAAAAGCATGAAATGGAGGAAGGATAGCATCTTCAACAAATGGTGCTGGAAAAAACTGGAAATCCATATGCAACAAAATGAAACTGAATCTCTTTCTCTCGCCATGCACAAAAGTTAACTCAAAATGGATCAAGGAGCTTGATATCAAATCAGAGACACGGTGTCTGACACAAGAAAAAGTTGGCTACGATCTACATACTGTGGGGTCGGGCTCCAAATTCCTCAATAGAACACCCATAGCACAAGAGTTAATAACTAGAATCAACAAATGGGACTTACTCAAACTAAAAAGTTTTTTCTCAGCAAAAGAAACAATAAGAGAGGTAAATAGGGAGCCTACATCCTGGGAACAAATCTTTACTCCTCACACTTCAGATAGAGCCCTAATATCCAGAGTATACAAAGAACTCAAAAAATTAAACAATAAGAAAACGAATAACCCAATCAACAAATGGGCCAAGGACCTGAACAGACACTTCTCAGAGGAGGACATACAATCAATCAACAAGTACATGAAAAAATGCTCACCATCTCTAGCAGTCAGAGAAATGCAAATCAAAACCACCCTAAGATACCATCTCACTCCAGTAAGATTGGCAGCCATTATGAAGTCAAACAACAACAAGTGCTGGCGAGGATGTGGGGAAAAGGGTACACTTGTACATTGCTGGTGGGACTGCAAATTGGTGCAGCCAATTTGGAAAGCAGTATGGAGATTTCTTGGAAAGCTGGGAATGGAACCACCATTTGACCCAGCTATTCCCCTTCTCGGTCTATTCCCTAAAGACCTAAAAAGAGCATGCTACAGGGACACTGCTACATCGATGTTCGTAGCAGCACAATTCACAATAGCAAGACTGTGGAACCAACCTAGATGCCCTTCAATAGAGGAATGGATAAAAAAATGTGGCAGTTATACACAATGGAGTATTACTCTGCATTAAAAAATGACAAAATCATAGAATTTGCAGGGAAATGGATGGCATTAGAGCAGATTATGCTAAGTGAAGCTAGCCAATCCCTAAAAAACAAATGCCAAATGTTTTCTTTGATATAAGGAGAGTAACTAAGAACAGAGTTGGGAGGAAGAGCATGAGAAGAAGATTAACATTAAACAGGGGTGAGAGGTGGGAGGGAAAAGGAGAGAGAAGGGTAACTGCATGGAAATGGAAGGAGACCCTCATTGTTATACAAAATTACATACAAGAGGAAGTGAGGGGAAAGGGAAAAAAAAAACAAGGGGGAGAAATGAATTACAGTAGATGGGGTAGAGAGAGAAGATGGGAGGGGAGGGGAGGGGGGATAGTAGAGGATAGGAAAGGCAGCAGAATACAACAGACACTAGTATAGCAATATGTAAAACAGTGGATGTGTAACCGATGTGATGCTGCAATCTGTATCCGGGGTAAAAATGGGAGTTCATAACCCACTTGAATCAAAGTATGAAATATGATTTGTCAAGAACTATGTAATGTTTTGAACAATCAACAATAAAAATTAAAGAAAAAAAATAAAAATTAAAAAAAAAATAAATTGCATTGTTATTCATTCAATGAAAGGAGTGGGTAATGACTCCAGGAAACATGCTAATTACATAAAAAGTCAGCACCAAGGCCTGTCCAGTTGTTTTTATTAACCCTTCTTTTCCTTTCACAGATCTTGACTACATTGGATCAAGTGCAGTTATCATACTTTTTTGACAACCAAGCATTATAATACTCAGAGCATGAGCAGAAAGAAAGTAGCCAGTCAATTCTGTTGAGGGAACATCATGCTCCTGTCAAGTCAGTTCGATCAGTTTTGGGGTAAAGGATAACCACGTGACTGAGACTAGTGAATAGAGATGTCAGGGTTTTCGATTGGTTAAATTCCACCTGGCAGCAAAAGCCTGACTGAATGACTTCTTAGTTAAATTATGCTACAGGAGAGCATAATCATGATGGGATGAACCAATAATATCCTCAAAGTTGAGTTCTCTGCAGAGGTAGATTCTAAGCCTGAGACTAAGCAAAAAACACACGAAATCATTAGAACATAATAGCAGTGGATTTAAAAGGAACTAGAATTAGAAAACCAAGGAATAGAAAACCAGAGTTTCCTCCTCCTACCAAATTGAGCAAGATGATACCTTTCCACCTTAGTCTCATCACTTGCTGAGCAAGAGTACAGACCAATACTATTTCACATGGCAATATTGCCAAAAGTAAAGGGATTTTTGTTAATAGGAAGAAAACACAAACACTGATACTGTTTTGTTACACATGAAGCAGTTCTGAGGCAGCTAAGTCAACTCCCATTCCCCATGACACCTGTCCTCAGCAGCATCTGGCACTCACCCCTAGAGAATGTCTTCCACATGCCTTCATGGAGTCATAATCCTTTAGTGTTCCTCCTTCTCTAAAGTTTCCCCTTAATTTCTCTTAATTCTGTAAGACTGGAAAACGCTGCACCACACGACACAGATTACCAAAGAGGTTTCTCTTTATTACAAATGGCTGTGTGTTTATATAGGTCTAAGAGAGGTAGCAGGGGCTGAGGTAGATAACAGGTCGCCCGTTTATTGGCAAGCTCTTCCATATATCAGTTCCGGGGCCCAAGAAGTTAATTCTAATTGGGGCTAAGGCTTCCTACCGGCAGGGTTTGAACATTGGCGCCAGCGGGAACGTTTCGCGCCAGTGAAAGAAACAAAGAAGAGAAGGAGAGACGTTAGACGCCATGCTGGGGTTTTTCTCTGGGGTGCAGCTGCCGTTATGTTTTCCCAACATTCCTCACTTTTTTGTTTTCTTAGGAAGTGGGGCGTCGTTGGTCAGATCCGGCTGCTTCCTGCTGTGTGGGGGTGGCGTGGGGCCTAGAAAGGGAAGTGGAGGAATGTTCGGGGGGCAGGTCTGGGGATATCATGGCAACCAGAAATAAAACCCAGTGGCTATAGACAGCTACTTCCGTAGGGGTGAAGTCTATGAAAGTTCCCTGAAACCACAAGTCGTCGATGGCGTCGAACCAGTCCTGGATGGAGGAAATAGTTGGTATCAGCCACTGGTCCTGTAACAGAGACTCTAGGAAATACTGAAAGCATTGCCTTGACATGGCGTCACCAGCACCTAAAGAAAATCAGAGCGAACAAAAACAGGATGAAGATAAAAATTAAAGCAAATGTCAGTTTTGGGCAGAAGTTCCATGACGGGGGACTGACAGAGAAGAGGCCAAGGGCCATAAGGAGGCTTAAAAGGACATAAAGGCTTAAAAATCCAGGATGGCAGATTAAAAGGTTCTCCAGGTTCGTTGTCTCCCGCTGTCTGATGTCCGTTGCATTCCATAGCGCCTGGTAGTGGGCTTCAGCAATAAGTGAGCTGTTCTCTTGAGGGTGTTGGAAGTTCATTGGTCATCAGAGGCTGGTAATACCTAAGCAGAAGCTGGTTGAAAGTTTGGTTAGAGATCTTCGTAATTGGCCCTGTAGGAAGCGAAGCAGACAGGGCAGGAACATACACATCAGGAAAAGAAAACATATGGGCCCTAAAAGAGGCAACAGCTAGAAGTGGGCTAAAAAGAAGGCAGTAAATGGGTTTTGGTTTGGTGGATTTTTCAAAGAGGTAGCCAAGTCGGTGAGCTTGACTACATCAGTTTCCACAAGGCCTGATTCATTGATGTAGTAACAGCATTCTTCCCTCAAGAAAAGACAGGTTCCACCTTTTTCGGCTGTGAGTAAGTCTATAGTTCGTCGATTTTGAAGAGTAACTTGAGCCAAGGATGTGACCTGCCTTTGTAAAGATGCTAGAGATTCTGCCGTAGAAGTGAGCGCTTGTTCAAGTTTAGAACTTAAGTCCTGTACAGCCCATAAGGAGTGTCCTAGAGTGTTAGAGTCTGTAAACAAGTCAGGATGGCGCCTGGCATTTTGCCAG